TATCTCTTGGTGCAAAACCAAAACCCTCAGAGGGGAAAACGCATCAGGTATTGCATTCAGATAAAAAAGCAACATAAATTGCTCATTTTTTGCTATCTAAATATGTAAGGTCGAATCTACAAAAGGTGCTGAAAATAGTGGTAGCAGTATTTTATTTACAGCTTCTGCAAATTGGGCCAGTGATGAGGAGTGGCAAGCAGGTATCATCAGCATCCGAGTAACAAAAAGGAGATAATGCTAAGGAAGATTTTTCTGACATAGTGAACATGCCTGCATACAACACTGTTTGTCCTTTTCACAGTTTAAGTGAATTTTCTTGACTTCAAAGTGCCACCAGTAGTGGTAATGATCCTACTGTGAAATGTGTTTTTAGTTGCTGCTAAAAATTGCTCAATTATAAAGGGCTAGACTCTGATGCCCTTACTCAGTTTTGTAGTATGTTCCTGTGGGGAACCCCATTATTGCTTATCACTAAAGATGTACTACACACTGTGCATAAGGGTATCAGAGTCTGACTGAGAAAGGGGCTAATAACACTGGGCTGGGTGAGCAAAGGCATGTGCTGTACAAGGTCCCATCTACAGCTTCACCAGTACACATCTGTTCTGTTCTGTAATTCTCCCTTCCCACTAATTAGAGTTATGCTACACTATGCAGTGCTGCATGGTGTTGACAGATGAGATCACCATAGACATTATCTGTCACTTGAGATCTAAGTCATAAATTGAACCCTGGGCTTTCACAGTTATAAGATGGAGAAGTTAAAGTGAAATCTCTAAATGCAGCAGTTAAAATGTGGGTGGCAAGAGCAGTTTCCTGAAAACAGTCTGGTATAATTGGCTACCCAACTGCAGAAGGATGTATTTAATTCTCCCAAATAAAAGCACCTGAGGAAAAAGAAATTGTGATCAAGGAATAGATGGCATTTTGTCTCTGGGATGATGTGAAGTGAACAAATACTCATGCAGACAAGGTCACCCCCTGTATTTTGACATTTTCTTTACCTAGAGAGGGGAAATGGTAATTCTATTTAATATGGAGACAAGAGATTTGAAATCTGCTTTACAGCTTGAAAATATAGGCAAATAAAGAGCAGCAGAGAGATTGGAACAGTCTCTCTTGGAAATCAAATGCAAAATACATTCCAACTGCAAGCTTAGAAATGTGGTTAATGAGACTTAACTATTTGTTCTTGCTTTAAAGTGCACATCAAGTTTAAGAAATTTGAACAACTTTGATAAATTATTTCCTCTAAACATAACTAAAACTGAAGCTGTTTCCCCTCAGACTGCTCTATTTGTACAATTTTTAGCAGCAAAGTAGACAGGTTTCAAAGGAAAGGTGATCAGAGCAGAAAAAATAAAACAAGGTCTTTTAAATAGTTCTGTGACACTGTGTTGGTTTGTCTGACCTGCCAATATTCTGCTTAGCCAGGCGGTAGTTGACAACCCATGTGTCTGCTTTAACACTTTGGCCAATTACAACTGCATGGTGATGTAAATAGGCATTGAAATTGATGACTATAAACAGTATCTGAAAGGAGAATCAGGCAAAAAAGGAATAAATAGTGCAGTGCAGTAATTTCTCTGCCTGAGAACTTGCTGATAGACTTAAAGCAGAGCCACGAATATAATGAGCTATAAGAGTAGGCAAAGAAAATACACAAAGAATCATAGAAACTTGGGGTTGAAAGGGACTTCAGGAGGTCATCTAGTCCAACCCCCTCCCCAAAGCAGGACCATTCCCAACTATATCATTCCAGCCAACCCTTCTTTTTACCCTTCATATCCCTTGCTAGCTGCAACTCCAATTTCTCTTTGGCCTTCCTTGTTATTCCTGCATGCCCGAGCAATGATCTTGTACTCTTCCATAGTCATTTGTCCAAGTTTCCACCTCCTGTAAGCTTCCTTTTTGTGTTTTAGCTCATTGAAGAGTTCCCTGCTAAGCTGAGGTGGTCTTCCGCAATATTCGATAGTCTTCATGCTCGTCAGGGTGGTTTGTTCCTGCACCCTCAGTAAAGTAAAACTAGCTATCCTGGACTCCTTTCTTCTTTAGACTGGCCTCCCAGGGGATCCTGCCCATCCATTTCCTGAGCGAGTCACAGTCTGCTTTTCTGATGTCCAGGGTCCTTACTCTGCTGCTCTCTTTCCTTTCCTTCCTCAGGACCCTGAACTCAGTCATCTCATGGTCACTGCTGCCCAAGTTGCCATCCACTTCTATATTCTCTACCAATTCTTCCCTGTTGGTGAGCAGCAGGTCAAGAAGAGGACAGTTCCTAGTTGTCCTCTCCCCTTGACCGGAAGGATGGAGGAAAACACCACCTGAGCCCCCGTCCCCTTCGCCCTTGGACCCAGAGTCCTGTAGTCACTTTTCATCTGTTCAAGGTCACCCCTAGCAGTATCACTGGCTCACATGGATGAGCAGCATGGAGTAGCAGTCAGAGGGCTGGATGAGTATCAATAATCCCTCCATGACATATTGGATCTGGACTCCAGGCAAGCCAGCAGGCCTCCAGAGAGTTGTTCCAGAGTGTTTCCCAGTTGTTCCAGAGTGTTCCCAACACTTTGCAAAAACTTCCTGGATTGCGTGTGCAGTGCTGTATTGCCCTCCCAGCAGATGTCATATTGACTAAAGACCCCCATTAGAACCAGGGTCTGTGTTCTGGAAACTTCCATTAACTGTTTAAAGGAAGCCTCTTCCACCACAGCATCACGTTTGTTGCTCTCCCCTCTAACCCTAACTGAGACTTTCAATAGGCTTGTTTTCAGTTTCAAATTGGAACTCTGAGCACTCATACAACTCTTTTACATGAAATGCAACTCCTCCTTCTCTTCTCCCTTGCCTGTCCTTCCTGAACAGTTTATACCCACCCATGACAGTGCTCCAGTCATGCGAGCTATCCCACCAAGTCTCTGTTTTTCCAGTCACATCATAGTTCCAAAACTGTACGAGGACTTCCAGTTCTTCCTGTCTGTTTCCCAGGCTCCATGCATTCGTGTACAGACACCCAAGGTAACTAACTGATTGCTCTATTTTCTCAGGAAGAATGATGAAGGCCTCTCCTGTTACCCACTCCTACTTATGCCTCCTCCAGGTCACCAGCTGCCCCACTTACCTCAGGATTTTGGTCTTCATCTCCTGGCAAACCTAGTTTAAAGCCCTCCTAACTAGGTTAGTGAGCCTGTTTGCAATGATGCTCTTCCATCTCTTTGTTAGGTGCATCTCACCTCTTCCTAGCAATCCTTCTTGGAACAGTATCCCATGGTCAAAGAAGCCAAAGCCCTGCTGGCAACACCATCTATGCAGCCATGTATTAATCTGAAGAATATGCCCACTCCTGCATGGGCCTTTCCCCTTGACCAGAAGGATGGAGGAAAACACCACCTGAGCCCCCGTCCCCTTCGCCCTTGGACCCAGAGTCCTGTAGTCACTTTTCATCTGTTCAAAGTCACCCCTAGCAGTATCACTGGCTCACATGGATGAGCAGCATGGAGTAGTAGTCAGAGGGCTGGATGAGTATCAATAATCCCTCCATGACATATTGGATCTGGACTCCAGGCAAGCAGCAGGCCTCCAGAGACAACAGGTCGGGCCAGCAGATGGACTCCATCCCCCACAAAAGGAAATCTTCAACCACCACCACCCATCACTTCCTTTTGGTGGGAGTAATCTGGAAACACTCAACCTTGGGGATGCTTGGCCTGGCCTCCTCCACCGGTGGAACATGCTTCTCCTCCTCTGTTGCTAGGGCTCCACATCTGTTCTCTAGGTAAACCACTGCAGGTGAGGATGAAGACCTCTGCATGCTGCCAAAGGCACAAGCTTCCAGGTTCTACCTTCCTGGGAGTCCACCACTCACACTGCAGGCAGTCCCCAACCTGGATGTCACTGGAAGGAACCTGCAAGCCACAGTCTCCACAGCACCAAACCAGGACCTGGGTGGAAGCCTTAACAGTGGGTGGTCCTTCCTGCACAGACACCTCATAAGTGCAAGCATAGAAAGAGCTGGCAGTAGCATGGCTCTGGCACTGTGATGTCCTCCAGCCATCTCTCTGGGTCTCTTGAATCTGCTGCCTCGCTCTTCCTGCCTGTGGAAGTCTGAGGCTCTCATAGAGAGATGCTCACAGTCAATCTACCCCAGATTTGCTAATTCTCTTTGGAACTTGCAGAGCCGACCCAAGCAGGGTGTGGAGCTCGGGGAAAATCAGCCCATGCAGGGCCCCACTCCTGCTCTGGTCCCAGGTGCCCCAGACCCAAAGAAGCTGCCACTGCCAATGGCAGCGGGGGGGCGGGGTGGCGAGCAGCTGGATGCGAAGCCAGCAATGCAGAGTCAACACAGCCACTCCGCCCAGCTCCCTGGGGCCCCCCAAAGTGTGGGGCCTGGGGCAGTCACTCTGATTCATCCCCCCTCCTCCTCCCCCTTCCCCCCCAGGGATGGCCCTGGGTACTCTGCCTGCCATGCCTTTGATGTTAAAGAAAATCCAAAGGGAAAAAGTAAATATTGGGAGGCAAACTGATGTTTCTTACTGCTGCATTTCTAGTCATTGGGCCTCTTCACAGGGCTCTTCCACTCCATACACTGCCCTTACCACAGCAGAAGTTTGGGGTGCAATCTCTGAATTATAGTCTGTGCTTAGTGCACTAATACAGTCTCAGGTGAGCTTAAAAGTTGCCTGCTGCATGGATCGTGAACTGTTCCCCACATTTGGGCTTATACCCCCACAAGTTCCACTCCAAGCCCATCCTTAGGTTTGCTTGCCTTTGTAAGCTCAAGAGTATACTTCTCTGCCCGTGTTCATGATTTCCTCCCACCACCTGTGCTCACTTTGCACCAGAACTTCATTTATGTTCTGCCTTAATTGGTGGGCCCTAATTGGGAACCATAGCCAGCTTACTCAATCCCCTGGCTAGCCCTGGGCTCTGTCCCCATTGCAGGGAAGAACACCCAGTGTCACAGGGCAGACCCCCTTAACTGATCCTTCACCTCTTCTTCCCTCTAGGTGATGGACATGGAATGACTCACTCACCACATGGATTTTCTTCAGGCCTCCAGGATTACACTCATAGACTGGCTCACCTCTCAGGTAAGTTTCACTGCTTCCTGATTGTCTTCTGCCAGACCCGTTGACCCCTGGCTGGGGTTAGGTAATTGCTGTGCCTCTGTGGAGCTGCACAAGCTCCTCTCTGAGGAAATGCCACTTGCCTGGCCCTGGCACTTTAACTTCCTCTGAGCCTATCCAGTGGTTTTACGTCCACCCATTCTTCCTCCGGGGGCACCCAGCGAAAATCAGTTAAAGCCAGTCTCTTTCTTCACATGCTTTATTGACATTCTTAACACGCAAGTGGGACACTCCCCATCCACAGTTCCATTGCCTTGTTGCACTTTGGGACAGGACACAACCTCTGCCCTGTCACACTGTCCCTCTCTCCAAGAACACTTTCCCTAGCAAAATCCCCTGTAAGCTAGCCTGTTCACTGCTCCTTGGTCCTGAAAGCTTCCCTTTTCCCTGCTAATCTGCTTCCTCTCACCAACCTTACAGTGAAGGAAGATGAGAGTTTCTGGGCAAACTTCCTTGAGAACTCCCCACTCACTCTGGACTCCAGTTAAACAAAAGGTTTAGGTATTGTTTTAACTGCTGAGTTTTAGCTACATAAACTAATTTTTTATATAGATTATTTACTCTTATTTAAGGAAATAGCTTATTTTAAAGGCTCTCCTTCAAAGAAGGGAGTCACAAACTAACTTGAAAGCTGCTTGCAAACTGCCATGTTTGCTTGCCCTGTTCACTCACTCCCTGGTTGCTCAGGGTGCCTCTACACATGCTCTGATGTGTTTTAACTAGAACATGTTGGAGCAGACTTGACTAATTGAGTCTGTTCTGCATTCTAATTAGAACACTCTAGCATCACTGCAGCATCACACATATAAGCCCCCACAGGTTTAATAATGGCCATTGGAGTGCTTTAACATTGAATGAGTTTTAGTTAAAAATCCTGTGGTCATGTTTAAATGAGTGGGGGCTTGATAGATGGGACACTATAGCATTTTAATTAAATCAGCTTTCTGGGAATCGCTAATTAAAACACCTCCTCCCCCTCCCCCAAGCATGTACATAGGCACCCTCTGGGAGTCTCTTTTTATACCCTCCTGGGCCTAGACTGGGGCCACCCCTTATTAAGGCTTTTGTCAGACGCAAGCAGCAATCATCCAGCTAGCCTCACTTCCAGCTGGTCACACCACATGCCCAGACACACAGACCACCAAACAAACACTCAGCAAGCCAAGCACACAGACAGCCCTGGCTCACTTACCTTCCTAGAGCAGAAACTAGTGCCTGCTGCCTTGCTCCTCTTCCTCTTCCCCTTCCTCCTCTTACAGCCAGTGAACTGCTTGCCAAATGCCCTGTTTGCTGTCCCCGTTTGCTCCATGCCATAACACAGTATTACTTGAAAAGGATGCAGAAATTACATTTTTCTTTGAGTCAATATGTGCCATAGCTGCCATAAAACAAAGGAGAAAGTTAAGTGACTAGTCCATGTTTGTATAGAATATTTTGAAAAGTGAGAAGCTAACACAATAATATATTTAGAATGAGATGGCATGGTGACTTTTTCCATATTAATCTGTTTGTGTGCACTGATTTCTAGCAAAGAGTAAAAGAACCAGGAATGAGTGTGATGAGTATGGTATAAATATGTCAATAAAACATTTTTGTGGCAGCTTCAGACAATACATTCACATTTCTACATTAATTTAAAATGTCATTTCCTTATGTGAGATACTCATTTTCACTTTTATTAAAGTCGAACAGAAAGGAGAAGCAATACTGTCCAATGGATTAAGCACGAGAAGAGGTTCTAGTATTCTAATTTTGGATTCCCCACTGATTCACCATAGATCTCAGGGGAAAATCACTTTTTCTGCCTCTCCGATGCCTCGCTTGTAAAATAGACGTGATAATTTTTCATCTCACGGGAGCACTATTGAAAATAATGTGTTAACAAAGCATGTAAACTTCTAGGTGTATGACTGGTTCCAGTCATGTGGGGTTCTGAGCATCTTCAACATATTACTGAGATTAATTGACTTGAGCAAAAACTTAGTCTGGGCAGTCTTATGCAGGCAAGTATTTAGCACTCCACCAAACTGGAGTCAGGTTATGAAGATAACCTGTGCTGTAGTTCCAGCTTGTGCTACACTGCCATGCATCTGGATCAGTGGAGGAGCAGCTGCTGCAATGTGTTCTTGGAATCCTTTACAGTTTGGGCTTCACCAGTCCATGGGGAGCAGGTGTGGAAGTCAACATTTCTATGGGCTTTACTCTGTCCTGGCTTAGCCCTATTCCTGCAGCCCTCAGACATTTGAGAGAATTGATCGTTTTGGAGAGGGAACAGTAGGGAAATAGGGACATTGGTGAACTTCATGGAGGGTCATGGAGAGAGTTGGTGAGCTAGGGATAACAGACTGATTAGTAAGTGATTGAGAGGGTGAAGGGGTGAAAGAGGGCAAGTCCAAGACTGTCAGAATTGATGACTGAATGTCAAAGTGATAATGGTATCTGGTGTGTGAGAGAATAGGGGTGCAGCAAGATCAGGTATGGGTATAAAAAAACGTGTATTTGCTTGAAAACAGTTGTGTAAATGTGGTTGTAAAGGCAAGGGGGTTGAACAGGTTTATGTGTTTAATAAATGCAAGCTAGCAGACTTTGGTTTGGGTAAGTTTTCCTCATAAAATCACAATGCTATTCTAGTTCTATATATAAATACCAAGACTTACAAGTGTGTGTGTGTTAAGTAAGGCAGATGCAGGTTAAATGAAGAGCAAATATTATAGCCATATGCTTTGACTCTTTATAAATTCCAATAACAGGTGAAAATGTTAAGATGTTCACATATGTTTTGCAGGCTCTGAAACAGAACAAGATAATTCAGGAGACAGTCCACTATTATCACCCATTGTTATAACAACTCCTAGTCCAGAGAGATCTACTGCACTTTTTACAGCTGCCCTTACCCCTGATCTGAAATCTTCCACCACACCAGAAGAGCCCGAGTTAGGATTTGAAACAGGAAATAATGCAACTACTGAGTCAAAAGATGAAAACAATAACAACACAGAAACGGAAGATGTTAACCCAGCCTTAATATATGGCGTCCCTGCAGTCTTACTCATCGTATTAATTCTGCTGATCATTTCTTTTGTAATATGGCACAAAAAGAAAAAGTCTAAGCAAGGTAAAATTTAACAATTCTCAAATGTCAGATGGAACTTTTTATAAAATAGCCAGTGGGAACAGGAAGGGATTTCAAGAAATGGAGTGTAATGGATTCTCTGCTAGTTAGTGATAGTTTTCATATACAGAAAAGGAATGTACTATGAAACTCTACTATTTTTCCCCTATCTCAAACCACTGTATGCGCAGTATATTCTACTTATGCTTAATCTAATTCTGCTTAGCATCCTCTATATATCTTTTACATCTATGACAGCAATGATGGGATTATCTGGCTTTTCACATCTGTGGTAGTTAAGAGTAAAACACGACTACATGTGATTTTTCCTGTTCTGTTCTTATGTTGACAAATTCCAAAAACTAGGGTTTCTCTTGCTTTTATTACCCATGAGGGACAAACTACTGGAAGTTAAATAAACAGAAGCAAAACCTTGATGAGAGAATTTTATACATGAATTTCATTTTAAGGGAAGTTTTCCCTGAGATTCTGTAGAGTACTAACAGATGTGAAACTACTTGCTAAAATCAAAGCAATTTCTTAAGAATCGTGTGAGCATGCTGTCTGTATTCTGCGATACAAAGAATACAATTTCAGGAAACCACTTATACGCTGTCTTAAAAACTCCACTGTGTGAAACAATAGAAACTGAACAGAAGCAGAGCCTTAAAATTAATCTGTGATGCTTTTTTTTTTAATGTGCATGCTGATTTTTAAAAACATGCATGTTATGAAAAGTGTATCAATCTACACATATTGAATGACAAACATATACACAGGGACAGAATTTTATTGAACCTTTGTAAATGCACCTGCATTCTTTCTAGGATATACCACCAACTCTCACCAAATGGGTGCTGAGGCATGTGGTTATGTGTTCACACACAAATAGTGAACTGGACATGGTAAAATGTGTGTGTGCTGTCACAGGCTTACAGGAAATGTGGCCCCTAAAGAGTTCCAGGAGCACAATTTTGGGTACCTGTTCTCTTTCACTTCTGGCTTGGAACCACTACCTCTGTTCAGCTTCTGTTTTTCACAAAGTAGAGTTATTAAGACAGGATGGTTATAGTTTCCTGAATTTGCTTAGATGCACCATTCAGCTTGCCTGTAGCTTCTAATTGGATTGCTCAACAAACAATCATTCATGAGCAGGTTGGGAGCTTCAGCATCTTTTTGAGCTCACCTGTAGAGGAGATTAGCTATCTGCATAATGGCCGGCTATACCACTCTACAAAGTTTCTCTCTTTTTTTGGTATAAATACTCTTGTTTCTCCCACAGCTTTTAGTACTTCTTCCTACCTCACTCTGTCCTCCTCTCCATTTTCTTTCATTTTTCATCCTTGTCTTATCAGGAGTTTAAACCAAATGTGTCTTTCTTGAAAACCATCCCCTTTGGTGTCTATCTAGATTAGCTTCCTTTATCCCATTGACACTTCAGCAGCCATTCAAGCCACTCCACCTTTTCCTCCCTTGTGGAAAAGAGCTTGCACCCCACATGTGCAGCTCCCATGATCTTCTTTCAGAAGTAGGGGGACTGCAGACAATCTGCATCAGACTGTCTTGAAGCTTGCAGTAAACTATTTATATAGCAGTTGTTGCTCTTGCAGGCTGTCACTTTTCTTGAGCCAACATATTAGGCTTACGTTGCTCTGTGTTTGCTCTCTCCTGTACGCTGCCTGGCTCGTGTTCTGAATGTGATCTCTTACTGCACTCATCTATGTTCCACTGACTTGAGCTCCTGATTTTTACTCAAACCAAACACCTCACTCTGTTACTTACTATCTTATGGCTCATGGAACATCAGAGTGGAAGAGGTCTTTCCAGCCATTCAGGCCAGTCATCTGTGTTCATGGACAATCATTTGTCCAGCAAATGACTTCTTTTTAATAACTAGCAGGGTTTCTAAATTATCAGCTTCTATCAATATATTCAAAGAAATTACTGATTAAGAACCAAATCTTTGCTGTAAATTACAGATGGCAGGTAAGAAAACACATCAAACATTTTATACCATTGTATACTAAAATTATACAATTTTAGTTGTAATCTAAACATTAACTATTTAACTTTTTGAAAACTGGAATTTGTTTTAAATAACTCTAAGGCAGAATTTTCCAAGCCATAGATTCTTAAGAGCAAATGATACTTTTTAACTATGCATACCAACCTTTTTACTTCTTTTTCAGATGAACTGGGAAGTGAAAATGTCAAAAGGTAAAGTTTATAAAAAGCACTTGTCGGCCTATTTTTGTTTGCTTAATAGGCCATGTTCATTTGTAGGACTTCAATATTCTGGTTTTAAACTTGCTGTATGGCCTTGGTTGTATGTCCTGGAGTTTCAAGACTTCAACACTTTTTAATTAATTAACCCAGTTAATTGTCTCTGGAGGCAACTAAAGAGACAAAGTCTAGTTCCAAAAAGATGTCTTAAAACTGGGGTCTTAAAGATGCCTTAAAGCACATATGGAAGGCACAGAACAAAGAATGCAGGATTTCCTTGCAGTTATCTCAGTTCAACTACACGGAGGCATGGTATAGGGGGTGTAATATAGATGCCATGCTGTCTCTGGTCCAAGTTCATACCTATTGCCCCACCGTTTGTTGTAAGTACCATCCACAGTTGGTTATCTAACTCTAAATGCAGACTCCACAGGAAATAGGTAGATTATAGATAATGGAACAGGATTCCAGAACTGTGAGTGTAAATCTATCTGCAGCTTTGGTTCTTCCCTCTATTTTTCAAATTTGCTTGCTCATTACTAGATTGGATGTAAAAGTTTTCTGGGGCTTTTACAGACTAAAATTACCCATGTGAAAAAAGAAGCAGCAGCAGCAGCCAAGCTGTTCTCATACACAGCTAACAGTTTCACCCTTTTTCTTTTCCTGAAATCTCTCCTCTTGTTTTCCTGAGATCTCTCAGCACCAGGTCCTGACAGAAGGCAATGAAGCCACCTGAATGCCCTGACCATCCAACCAGAGGCGTTCTTAGACTCTCTGTCTCAGGCATTCTTATTGGTATGACTTCAGGGCCACTCTAAGGTGGCTATATAGCCTCATTTCCAGGGTTTGGTGCATGCAGCATGGTAATAAATGAGTGGAGTGCTTCCTCCCTTCTCCAGCAGTAGTCCTGAACTCAGCATGGAGGCAAGCCCTGAACTGCACATTATTCTACTTAGATCTTTTCCTTCTGAGATCATTGCTGAAGCCAGTCCCATGGTTAAAACAGTATTTCCAATATCCTGCTCTCACTGAAGCAAATGGGACGTTACATAGGGATTTCAGTGGGTGGCAAGACCAGATCTTTTGTTTTCCAGTTTTATCTCTGCATGGTTTAGTTTGTTCCACTTACAGCCTATGGTCATTTTTCTTTGCTCCTTGGGCTGGCACACCTTCAGAAAGGAAATTTGCTGGGCAGGCACCAGTTTCCAGAAATCCCCACTGACGCTAACGCTTATACAAGACACATTCAAAGCTACTATATTATGCACCTATCTGAATGAAATGCTTTATTTAATACATCTTTTTTCCCTCCTATGTCAAGTCCTATTTTTGAAGAAGATACTCCCTCTGTTATGGAAATAGAAATGGAAGAACTCGATAAATGGATGAATAGCATGAACAAAAATGGTACCTGGTAACTTCCCCCACAGCATTGCTTGCTCTCTAGCTGAGGTGGCTTCCTGAAATAGAAAAACACAGAATTGCTATCTTGTATTTGGGTTGTTAAATTTCCTCTGTTTTCAGTCATAATCTTGAGCCTACAATACTAAAATAGCTGCACAACTGAATGTCTGGGGTGGGATTGCTCTGCAAAGTATTTTTAGGCTGTGTGGGTGCTTATTTTTAAACACATTATGGGATACTCTAGATAGAATACAGTGAATGAATGTTTCAGTTTTCCAGTAGAAGCTTTTATGAAACACAAATATGACTGCCCTATATTTATGTTTTAAGTATAAATGTCTAGCTTAAAACTGCTCAGTGGTTGTTTTTTTTTTAATTTCTGGTTCTGACAGTGTCCAGAATTTCTATGATGCTGCATATTGTGCCATTCTATGAGAAATCCCTACTTACTCATAGCTCAAGAGACTAATTATTTAACAATACTGTCAAAATCATCTTCTGTGTTTATCACTATGACTACATTCCTTTCTCCTCTGCATCCCTCTGCTCATTCTTTATCATCTACCATATCAAATATAAGCTGTTTATCATTGCTTTTTAAATCCATCACCACTTAGATATACCATGACTAGCAAATCTATTAGCTTATCAAGCCATCAGCTTTTACCTTAGCTCTGCCAATAATGGCTGTCTCAATCATCTACTCACCTTCTTTTCTCTGAAGCACCTCTGTGCTTTCTCCCAGGTAGAGAAAGTGCAGACCCAGTGCTAGGGACAGGGTTGGCCTTTTGCTGTCCTGGGGCTGTGCTGGGAACTGTACAGAAATTCAGTTAGATCGGTCTTGCCCAACACAATCTAAGGGTGTTCATACATGTGCTCCAGGAGTGGGAAGGGGGTGCTTTAATTACAGGGCTCTGAGAGCTGCTCTAATTAAACTGCCCAGAGCATCTTGTATATCAGCACTTCCATACTTCAAAATGGCAGCGGGGGCGCTTTATCAAAAGCTCATGGAACAAGGTTTAGATAAAGTGCCCCCACCATTTTAAAGCATGAGCACACTAATACACAAGATGTGGAAAGCTGTTGGAGCACGGTAATTGCCATGCTCCAGCAGACATGATTAATCAAGTCTGCTCCGATGCCCTGGATTACAGTGCATCAGAGCAGCCTCCCTGCTCATGTATAGGCGCCTTAATCTAGATTTAGACTGAAGTAGGGTTAAATTAGATTGGGTCAGCCATTTTTAGAGCAATCTAACAGTCTTGAACTTCTGTACAGTTAAATCAGGTGGCCATTTTTAATATGATCTAACCTCCCCCAACCTCTCCAAACTTTTCTATGTACCCCTAGAATCAATTGTTAGATTAATCCTGTGAAAAAATAGATGTGATAGTAAAAAGTTGCATACGGAAAAGTTAACAAATAGTACTTCTAGTTTTGTTTTATGGCAAAGGCACGTAAGGTTAATGATAAGCAGTTTATGTGTGTATAGGTATGCAATAAATAGAAGTAAGTATAATAAAGATAACTAGGATACAACACACATTGTAGGAGGCTTTAGAATGAATATAGACAATATCACGCAAAAATATATGAACATGCAAGTATTAAAAATAAGAAAATATACCAGCACCCTGAAGTTTTCACTGGGTACTGACTGCACAGAAAGCAAATACAGTTTTGAAACATCTGAAAGAATGCCATGAGTAAGCATGACTTCTTCTCTTATAATTTCTTAGCTGAATCTGAATGTTTGCCTACTGTAAAAGAAGAAGAAAAGGACTCAAATGCCAATCAAAGGTACTTTTAAGTCTATTCTTATATTACTTAAAGTCTTAAAGTTAGCTTCAATAATTCTAAGACTTTAGCAACCTTTTTTCTTCATGTGTGGTCAGAACTGTTTTAATACATATGCACTTTTATTGCACTTCAAACAAATGTTTCAATGCACTTTTATTTGTTAAAAAAAAGATATCTACCTGCAGTTTGGTACTTGCACATGATCCTTCAGCACTAAACCTCTGTGTATATGTATAAGTGCCAGGAAGAGGGGGAAAAAGAGAGAGAGAGAAGATGGGAAAGAAATAAAGCAAAAACAAACAAACAAACAAAAAACCTATAATTGGTCAGATTTTAATTGAATTTGAAAAATACCTCATCTGTAAGCTATCAAAAAAGAAAGGTCGTATAGGGAAAAAAAATCACACATACCACTAGGTGGCCCTACTGAACTGAGAATGAGTGTCATGTTTTTGGCCTGCATGGTCAGTATTTTGACAGAGCTTACAAGAAAACCAGCAATATAATAAAATTTTTGGTGTTGCTGTTCAGC